AGCTGTCTATTTCTGTCAATGGTAAGTTTGTGATAACGTAAGAAAAGTAGTTTAAATGTTTTGCCAATTGCTTGAGAAACTTAATATGTAAATCTAGAATTAAATGCAAAAGTAAAAAGCATTGAATGATGTGTTGCTTATATTTATTGTTTAAACATGTCTGTGAAAGACTGTATTGCTGTACCGTGTAAAAAAAGAATGCTGAAAAAGCATTGAAAAGTGACAATGTTTGGATTTGAAATCAAAATAATGGATAAATGTTGTGTTTGTGGTAAACAGCCACGGATCAGTAGTGGACTCCTGTGTGAAAGCAGTCAGTGCTGCTTCCCCTCTCACAAGAGTCACCTAAGAGGGGAATTCCTCCCATTTTCAAAAATGAAATTCAGGCCTGAATAAATGTCTAAAAATCCTGATTGGAGTATCACTATACATAGTAATAAATAATAAAAAAGAAGGCTTTAAAAAGATCGGTATCGGTGATCCGTTATCGGCAGATACTGCTTTCTGTGATCGGCGATCGGTCTCAAAAATCCTGATCGGAGCACCCCTAGCTAAAAATCTTACTTCCGGGTTCGTACAAGTTTCGGAGAGTTTTTTTCGATCGTGGCTCTTCATGACGTAAACGAGGGTGGAACTCCTTATATGGGCATTTCTCCCTGAAGAGCGCGCCCACGCACACATCGACCAGAGTGACAGCAAGAGCGCACCAATCAATGCGCTTCATTCAGCAGCGCTGCATGGGACTCGCTCAGGAAGAATGTCTCCAAAGAAGTGTTTTTGGTTGTAAGGGAAAGATAACTTTGTTCAGCTTCCTAAAGAACCCAACATTATGTAAACAGTGGATGCGGTTTGTTTTTCAGAAGCAGCAACGCAGTTTCACAAGCGTGTTTGTTGACGAACGTTTTAAAAACAAGGCCCAGTTCGACGCTGGATTTGCACATTGTTTGATACTGAAGGATGGAGCGGTCCCTGCTATAAAAGATCCCGGTCATGATTCAGAACTGCAGACGGTAAGTGAAACTGTATCAAATGTCTGTGTTTTGTTGGCAGTCGGAGCTCAAGTGCTCGTCAATCTTTAGCTCCGCCCACGGCGCGCCTCCAGGAGCTCGGCTGTTTCCGGAGAGAATCGTAAAGCTGTATCTTTCTTTTATAAATATGATAAAGCTAAAGACTTTTTGGAGATATGAAGGATGCAATACTACTCTATAGGTACTCAAGATTAACATGAGATTGAAACGGGTGAAACAGTGTGTGTTATGTCCCCTTTAAGCCTGGTTTTGTGGTCCAGGGTCACATTTGACATCTGACAGGAAACGTCTTAGAGACGTATTGCAGATGAGCAAACACTCTAAAAAAAGTACATCTTGCATATGTAAATGCAGATATCAAATAGACATCTCTGAGATGTACATGTGCGATAAGGGTGAGTGCTTTACTGTCAGGTGCTGGTGCCACCTTCAGTAGAACTTAATGGCACTGGTGCTGGTGTCCTCAAATGTTAGTCTGGAGCCCTACAATGGTTGTCGAAGTCAGAAAAGTCATAATGTTAGAAGAATGTTGTCTGTGGTATATTTTCACTGCAAAACAATAAGAAATGCCGCAAATATCACCACATATGTTGAGAAAAGCCACAGCAAAATCAGTCATTTTAGGCCGCAAAAATCAGAAAAAAGTCCCGCGAAATCCTGGAGGGACTGATATAGTAAGTACATGTAGTTAATTAATATTACTCAGTACTTAAAAGTATAATTACACTGTAACAAGGACACCTTACAATAAAGTGTAACCACATAATTATTAATGGTAATAAACTCAATATTAAATAAACATTTTTCATAACACATTACACATTATGAGGAAAATACTAATAAATTATTTAACATTTTTATTCAAATTATAGTGATAAATTGACAACTAATGATTAATTATCATCAACTAATCATTAATTAGTAAAATTCCTGAAAATCCAGTCAAATTAAACAGATACATGTAGAGGAGAGACTAATTTAATATTGAAATAATTACTTTAACTGATACCCCTATCACTGATATCACTTTTGCTTTAAGGATTAATCAATGATTGATTCAATGTTAATAATTAAGTTGAAAGAAATTTATTTTTTTTAAATATAAGCGTAATTTAATACTATTTTTATTAGAATTAATAATTAAGATCATATTAAACATAAAAAGCTGACTATGAAAATTCTTCAAAATTCAATTAAATTAAACGGATTCAGGAAACAAATTTTCTTTAACTGATGAGAAGCATCCTATTTTATATCTGCTGAAAACAACTGCCGAATCTCTCTCTATAGTACATCAGTGTTAAACTAGAGCAAGGATCAGCATAAACTACTTCTGTATCGACTGCACAAAACCTCCAGTGTTTACTAATTGCCCTTATATTACACTCTTTACACTGTCCTGAATTGCCTTATTGAATTACCATTAGACTAAATGGCATTATTGTATTGTATTGCACTGTTTCTACATTACTAAAGAGGACCATAAGGCACTAATCTGCCTACTGCACTGACTTATAATTTATCTACATTAAGCTAGATTATTTAGCTGAAAAATTATATTTTGGGCTTTGCATCTATTACAATTGTTTTATCCTACAATTGAACCATCAGTCACAGAAGTTACCGTCTTGAGCGGTTGGTAAAACACTAAATTTCTCTCAAAATCCATATACTGAATTGGATGATTTTGAATATTTCTACTGATGCAAGTCATGCAGCAATGTCAAATCAAGGCTCTCTCACTGAAAATGTGCGAAATTAATAAACAGAAATATACGGGGGTGAATCAGTAATGCAGAATCCGCAGAGGTGGCCTTGGAGAAAAGCCACCAAATATTAAAAACCTTAAAGGTTATGAAACATGATTAATTAAGTTGGTAAACATCAATTTCTCAAACCAAATGAGTAGTTAATGAGATGCTAGATATGCCATGTTGTTTTATTAGCATCCCAAAACCATGCAAAACCGTTTGTCAGTATAAAAAAAAACAAGGTCCTATGCACACTAAGAGGCTATTCACACAGGACAAGGGGCTGTTCCTGTAATAAATGTACTTTAAAAGAATCATTTGACTAAAAATTTTATTTTGCTGAATTTTGACACACTCAGGCCATCCAAAATGTAGATGAGCATTTTCTTTATCTGAACTGATTTGGAGAAATTTAGCATTACATCACTTGCTCACCATTGGATCCTCTGCAGTGAATGGGTGCCGTCAGAATGAGAGTTCAAACAGCTGATAAACACCAGTTCATCAATTAACATCTTGTAAAGTGAAAAGCTGTGTGTTTGTAGGAAGCACCTCCATTATTGAGGCATTTTAAATTTAAACCGCTGCCTCTGGCCAAAATCTGATGGCATAATCCATAATAATGCTTCCTCCAGTATGTGATGTGTGTTCATATCAAAATCCACCAACACATTTTGGACTCTTTTTACCTGTAAACAGTGTTTCATCTGTGCATATTTCTCTCCTGATTCAGACGAGATGGCCTTTTCACTGCAGAAAGAAATATTATGAATAGAAGACTTGTATTTTAGCCTGAAGCAGCAGTTTGAAGTTAGAAACAACTGTGTGTTTTTTTTTTTTACAAACATGCAGCTTTTCACTTCACAAGACATTTGTTGATGGACTGGAGTCGTGTGGATTTCTTGTGATGTTTTTATCAGTCTGGACTCTCATTCTGATGGAACCCATTCACTGCATTGGTGATCAAGTTATGTAATGCTAAATTTCTCCAAATCTGTTCAGATAAAGAAGCAAACTCATATACATCTTGGATTATCTGATTATGAGTACATTTCAGCAAAATTTTGTTTTTGGGTGAACTATTCCCTTGAGTCACCGTAGATGAGCTCAATAAATATACTTAACTGTAATTAATAGTGAATTTAAACGAAAACAAAAACCAGTGTGCGAGAGAGGAAAGAAAGGAGAAAGTAAAAAGAAAGACAACAAAGCATAAAACTACCTCCTGCATGCTCAGGACTTCTTTCTGCATGAAGTAGTGCTTTTTGAACTCATAATAGGAGTTGTACTGGTGCCAGGACTGCAGGAAGTCAAACCTTTAGGGTGTAGAAGACACACACATACACAGAGAGAGGTTCACAGTTATTACATATTACAGTAATCTAATAGAAGCGGTGAGACCTTCGTATCTAAAGGATGGCTGTAACGAGCAGGAGCCTAATTGCTTACCGCGGGTCATTCTTGGCACGCACGCTGCTCTCGAATTTCACTCCGTTTCTGGCCACATACTCAGCTAGTTTGTCAATGACAGGCTGGATGTCGGGAGGAGGAGGGATGATGGCTGCGACAGGGGCGGCAGCCGCCGGCACCATGGGTGCAACGGTGGTTTGAGGAGGTCGAGAACTGATGGATGAAAAGAAAAATAAAGCCAAATATAGGATTTTTGAAATATGTCAAGATCTGTAGAAAGCAAAGACAGTAGGGTGCACACCTGGAAGTTAGAGGGGCAGCCGGAGCAGAAAGTGAGAGCGGAGCTGACGCAGGAGCTGACACCGTGACTGAACCTGCAGCAGGGGCTGATGGGATTGCAGCCACAGGATCCAACGAAGGTGTAGTGCCAGGGGGAGGAGGAGGAACAGATGCAGGAGGAGCCGGCATCATGCCAGTGGGCAGCGAGGCGTAATAAGGGCTGGCATCAATCCCAGGAGGCGGCGGGGCAAGGCAGTATGTTCCATCAGGCAGCATACAGTACCCATAGTACATTGCTGCCACATTAGCTGTGTGAAATAAACACACACACACACAGAGTTACTAAATCAGATGCACATCCAATGCAGGCACTTGAAACTGTATAATAATATAACTTTTTCAGTACGATGTTTTTGAAAGAACTCACTGTCACCAAGGCTGCTCTTATTTAATTAAAAATTATTTAATTAATAAAAAATAAAAAAAATAATAATATTATGAAATGTTATTACGATTTTAAATAACTGCTTTCTAATATATTTAAAAATTTGAGAAAATTGTAGCGCTCCAAAAAGGAAAAAATAGGTCCTTGTACTGTAGGTGCGTAGACGATGCAATTCATAAAATAAAAAATATGTTTTTGTAGACTTTTCCAGTCTTCAGTGGATCAGTGTGTGGTTAGCCACCCTCTTGTTCATTTTCAAATATATTTTAAAATGTAATTTATTTTTGCAATGGCAAAGCAGAATTTTCAGCAGCCATTACTCCAGTGTCACATGATCCTTCAGAAATCATTCTAACAAACATTTCAAAGTTGAAAACAGTTGTGCTGCTTAATATTTTTGAGGAAAACATGATAGATTTTTTTCTGGGTTCATTCATGAATAAGTTGGAAAGAGCTGAATTTATTTGAAATAGAAATCTTTTGTAACATTATATTTTCACTGTTACTTTTGATCTGTTTAATGCATTTTTGCTTAATAAAAGTATTAATTTCTTTAAACAAACAAACAAAAGAAAATACAGAATGGTAGCGTATTTATATAACACATTTTTATATATAATTATTGTATGCCTGCCTCATTTAATAATTCTGAATCAAACCCCTTTTTCCCTGCCTCATTTCAAATGTAAAGGCAGAGCTTCATTCGAAGGTTTACTTGTCTGAATATTTTTGGTGATATTTGTCGAGCCCTGCATTAAACAGTCATCAATAGCATTTCTACTTTGGTTACATACCCGGGAAAGTACACTGAGGGAACTGTTGATGCAAATTAAGAATTAAAATAATCTACGTTTGGATCACTGTCCGCATAATTAAATTTCCTTTTCAAGTAGAAGATAAAAAGCTAGCGGAAGAGAAAAAGCGCATTCGTTTGTTCTGCTCTACCACAAATAATTAGGATCAAACTGTCCTCATGTTGAGATGGCAAGCATGTAAAGACATACAGTTCTTGAAAAACACTTCATAAAGCCTAATTACAGTCAAGCGCTGCTCCTTCCCTTCAGTCAACTATTACAACAGCAAAAAGAACCATTAAACAAAGCAGTTTAAAGGGGTGGCTGATTACGATTTCACTTTTTTAACGTTTGTTATTGTGTAATGTTGCTGTTTGAGCATAAACAATATCTGCAAAGTTACGAAGCTGAAAGTTCAATGCAAACGGAGATATCGTCTTTTAAAATTCTTGCAGTTTAATGCCTACAAAAATGGCTGGTAAGGACTACAACGAGTTACTTCCCGGGTTCGTGACATAAATAACAGCGTATCTAAAGTATGAGACAACAACAAACAAAAAACATAGGCCTACCATTAAAAACTGTGCTTGCACAGGTTCTGCAATAATATCCTCTGCTTCTCAATCGGGCTCAAACTGATAAGCGATATTAACGACGCCATTGTTTACAATACAACCAGAGCACATGCCGCTGTGGAGAGGGGCGGGACGGTTAGACACGTACCAGAGGCAGTTTAGCCAATCACAACACACTGGACCAGCTAACCAATCAGAGCCCATCACCTATTTCTGAGGG